AAACTGTCCAACAGGAAAGAAGGGGAAAAAAAAATTCAACCCCAAACAGTAAGACTCCGATTAGCGTTTGTAACCATCCAAGCAGATGGCAAGGGCGGTGAGGAGCGGAGTCGGGCAATGCTGCACCATCGCCCCGGGGCTGCAGCTCACTGACGTCCCGTCCTCGTCACCATCCCAGGCCCCGTGGCACCCTGCTGCCTGGCCATCCCCACCGGCAGGGGACGAGGAGCCTCCTGCCTCCTCTGCCAACCAATCTCTCCCCCCACCCGCCCGCTGCCCATCAGTTCTCGCCCGCCTGGACGTACTCCTCGGTGGCCTTGGAGATGGTGCTCAGGTACTGCCAGCTCAGGGCGGCCAGGAGCATGGCGCACGACAGGTAGATGGGGGAGTAGTGGTGGCGTGATGCCATGGGGCCGCCGGGCAAGCTCATGGCGCGGATGGAGGCGATGACCTGCTGCGTCTTGTTGGATGACGGGTCCGTGCTTGGGATCTTCTGGTAGATCTGGGGAGGGAGGAAGGAGGAGTTACGGTTCCCACCCAAGGTTGAGGAGACAAACGGGACCACCACGTGGAAGAGGAAGCCTTAAGGGCCACCATATGCTCAAGAGGTGGACCACCACTGAGCAAGGACCAGCTGCAAGGGATGCCTGGATGGGGCCAGGGCCTATTTCCCTTGAGAAGTGCACTAAGCCAAGCAGCCTCTTGAGGGCACCCCATGACGGGCGATGGACCACATGGCCTCAGACAGAATCCCTCAACCACAAAGCGGTGTTGCTGGGACCAGCGGTTCTTGCACCACAATCCTCACTCGCTGCCAGTGTGCTGCAGCCCTCCTCAAACCCGTAAGGACACCCCAGTATGACCAGCAGCTGGTGTAACTGCCAGGAAATGGCCACCTCCATCAGATAACCCCATGGACTTTGGGGTTTTCTCTTCATGGTCTGCAAACCCCATGGCTTTTGAGATGCTTGTCCGCATGAGTCTTAGGGAGGTGTCCACAACCTGAGACCCTCTTCTGGGCCAAGGTGCTGAGGTGTCACTGTCCCTTGCCATGGGGTTGGCCAGCCCACAAAGGGAGCTCTAATAACCCATGGTTTGGGGTCTCCCTTGTGCAGAAGTAATGTCTTTTTATTTAACTGCCCTTGCTGGACTTGGTTTTTGGGGTTGGGGTTTTCCTTCCCATGAAGACATCCACAAGTAGTTCCTCCACGTGAACTTTTAACCTCCACAGCACCATGAAGTCGGGACTCCCACCGTTTTAACCATCTGTGAAGACCTGCCCTTATTTACTGTTGGCCATGGTGCACAAGGAAACAACCACCACATCATGCTGCCAGCTGCAACTACAGACACAGAGAAAACAAGACTGCTCACTGAGCAGCCCATGGGAAGATGATGCAACCTGTTCAGAAGTGTGTTGTGGGAAAGGTCCTCTGTGCCCGCTCAGCCCAAGGGAAGTCCTGCGCTGTGACAGCTGACTCCTCTGGTTCTCCACCAGAAGGACGGCAGGACCTCGGACTCTGCCTCTCAACACAGGCACAGACCACGGGTACGTTCAAGAGAAGACACCAAGCACCCAGTTTGGTCCAAGCCAAAACCATGTCAGGGTCACCATGCCCTGGCACCACTGAACTGACTAAGAGACGTAAGGAAAGGATTAACAGATTCACGTGTCTTCCCAATTCCACACCAGGAACGAGGATGGGACCAACCAGAAATTACTCAAAGCAAGCTGCTCAACCTACCTCTTCCACATACTGGTACATGATGGCTTTGACAGCTTGTATGTTTGTGGCATCCATCATTAGAGTGACGGCCTGTCCCTTCCGGATCTTCACGACTCCCCTGAACACCTGCTTGTTGTTGTAGCAGGCAGCCAACGTGGCAATAGCCATCACCTAAGGAGAAACACCAAGAGGCCTTACCACATTGCAATGAGCTTGCCAAGGGAGCAACCTTGGCCCTAGTGAAATCGATGGCAAAACACTGGAGTGAAGCCACAATCCCACCGACAGCAGAATGGCAGGGACCAGGAAAGAAGGAAGAGATGGAGAATAAAACACGCTAATACTGACATGATATATGATCCCCCCACACCTCTAACTTCTCATCAGCTGGGCTGCAGACGACGAAGAACCTCTTGAAAGCGTAACTCACCTGGGGGATAGCACAGAAGTTGAAGACACTTTGGTTTTTCAGGCGGGATAAGTATGTGAGGACATCAGGGACATGGTGGAGAGCGTTGGTGATGAGCTCATTCAGACACTGGACAGCCATATCGATGTTTTCTGGTTTGGCAAGATCCGAGAGCTTCTTTGCGTATCTGCTCCAAACCTAAACATCAAGATAAGGACTTACAAGTTGGAGGGTACATTCATGCCGTAAGAGAGACATCAGTAACAGTCTGAGGTCTGGGAGAGCACCAAGAACCACCAGAGACCCATGAAAGCCTTGAAGGATTGGGGCTTACTAGGCTAAAGAAAAGAAGGAAGGGCAGGCGGTGGAGACATGACAGTGACCTTTGCATATACAAACGGACTGCAAAGAAGAAGGATGCAATTCATCTCCACATCTTCTCTAGGCAGGGCAAGGAAAAGACGCCTCACACATCAGGCTGACATCAAGAAATGCTCTATGAGACAGGTGAGCCACATGGAAAAGGGAGAGAAAAATTCTTGGAGGGCCTCAAGAAGAACGGACAAGCATCTGTCAGGCCCGGGCAGAGCTGATCCTGCCTTTGGGAACAGACTAGGTAACATCTCGAGATCTCACCCAGTCTTATCCTCCCTCATTCCTAGAACCAACGTAACAGAGAGGGGAAAAAGCTGCCCAACAAGTTCTTGGCAGTGTGGGGAGACATCACCTCGTCCCCACATCCGTACCCAGACAGCTGTAGATAGATGTGGAACTTCTCAGCCAGCTGTCATTAGAAGACCTGTTATTATCAAGAAGATGTACAACCAACAGTAGCGATCTCATACAGCCTTTACTGTAGGTTCTCAACAAAATTAAAGCAGACCGCCAAGTCTCTCCTGTTAACTTTGATGTAAAGGGACATGAGAGACGCTACAATTTTAGCTGTGCACCTTCTGCTATGCACCCAGTAATGCATTCCCAAGACAGGAGTTCTGCGAAGCACCGCTGGTTGGCTACATCCATTGCAGGTCTTGAACAGAAGTATGAAAGACTGTCAAGGGACCACCAACAAACAGTGGGGAAAACCGTGGCTTTGGGGATTTCGAAGGAAATTCCAGCAGGAACCCTTCTAAGGAAAGGACACAACTCACTGTATCAGAGCAGCAACAAAAGTACTTTCAGTCTTAGCACATTTCTCAAAGAGGCACAGCAGAAACGCTCGCCCCGAAGCGGTGTTTTCCCTCACCTCTCTGGGCCAGAACTCCCTTCCCTCCAGCTGGTCCTCCAGATAGTCACGGATGATGTTGGTTTTCTGCAGGAAGAGGCCCATGGAGTTGGCTAGCTCCGTGTCCTGCCCGACGATAGGATCTTCTAGCTCTGATGCAGAGAAGAGACGGGAAAGTCCTATCCCCACCAGCCCAGCAACGTAGTGACAATACTGCAAGGCACCGAGAGGGGAAGGGGCAGAAAGAAAACAAGATAAAAGGAGGAGTTACAAAGAGCTGCCTATTTGCCGCAGTGAGTTTTACAAAAGTGATGCTCAGGAGGTAAGTGACAATACATCTTCTACAAGTTCTCATGGCCCTCCCTGGGATGTCTCAGCTTTCCCATGCCCAGCAAACACCTCACCAAGAATGTCCCACCAAGGTAGCGCTCTGCCTCCGGCTGCCGAATGAACCGCCCACACGGGAACAGCTGATGTGATGGGTCACCCAAAACACGTGCTGGTGGACAACACCAACGATCCACGCCATCCTCCTGTTACCCACAGGACCAGCAGTCTCTCAAAGCCTTCCCAAGCCCACACAGCCTCCCTCATCCAGCTGAACCCTCTTCCCATAGGGATGCTCTGTCTCCTTTTTCCATAGACACAAGGTGGACCCTACTCATGTTCAGTCCACTCCTCTGTCCGGGCTGATTTACCTTATCCCACTCGTGCTGAGAGTCCACCTTCTTCTCCAAGAACTCTGCCATCCCAACACCCATCTTGTGGCAAATATCCGAAATCACGTCCTGGTAGACCTTTGACAGGTTCCTGAACTCCATGGAGATCTACAGCACAAGCCACCATGAGAAAAAAAAAAGAAAAAAAGACAGTGTCAGGAAAAAATAGCAGAGCTCAACATTTATTAAGAAATCAGAAAAAGACTGTTTACCAGGCTCTTATCCCGCCCTGGCTGGAGATCTAGGACAACTCCCACGACCAGAGCTGTTTCAAGGCCCTTAAAGCACAGGCTCAGTCTGTTCTCAGTCTAAACGGTATGGTCTCTGGCAGTAGATCAGACACAGCACTATCTTTGGGAAGGCTCTGTGGCCTTGGACTGGTATGATCTGGGAGTTGCAGGACAAAACTAGCTACGCTTGGTGCACAGAGTTGGGTTTTCTTGTAATTTGTGAGAGTGCTCCATCACGCCAACCACGGGAAAAGGCAGGGGAGGTTTCTGGTGCTTTCTTCTCCTGAGCCCTCTCCAGCTCTGGCTCCGCAGGGCACATTTTGCACAACTGGAAAGGCATCAAGCAACGGATAAAGCGTGAAATCCTTCTTCAGCATGTCCAATAACATGATTCAGTGACTCAATCACTCTCACACTGAAAAAAAAAAATTAAAAAGTGCATCCTCCCCTTCCCAAAACTGTGGAGCATCACGTTTTATTGTGCTGAGCTTTATTCTCCATCAGGGGGTAACGACAGCCAGCCCAGGGTGTGCGTCCAGTAAGGACGATTACAGCTCAGACACCACCGCAGATCCAGGCTCTCCTCCTGACTCTATCCACAGCTGCTGGCATGTCCTTGCTCTGTGTCTCAGTCTGTCTGTAAAACAAGCGTATCGACTCTGCTCCTGTCTCAATGGCTTCAATCCACTGCACAGAGAAGCATGACCTGCAAGTACACCTCTACCAAATATTATTAAAATCATGCCTGAATATGAACTCAGATTGCCCGAGTGAATAACACATACACACCAAGAAAGAACAAGGAAGTGCCATAAACACCTTCTCAAAAGCTTTTCTAAAGTACCAAGCCATTGACATGCCTACTATATCTCTGTCACTACACATCAAGAATCCTGACACAGCCATCTCCTATAGCGCACGCGCCTCCCAGATAGGGCACAGCCACTGTTATCCCAAGGGTGAGCATGAAAATTAAGAATGCACCTCAGTTTTACAAACAATTATCCCATTCCCACTGCTAGGGAAAGCCTGATAAGGGTAGAATAAATTTAAAATGGTAAAAAGCTGAACAAAACAGAACTTCCTCAGAAAATGAAATGCTCCTTGCTGTAACTACTATACTTTTTCTTAAATAGAGCCTAAAAGAAACTTAAAAAATAAATCCAGCTATGCTTGATCAACGCGAGCAACAGCAAAACTGCAGCATCCACCAAGAGCCAGTCCCTGTGCCCTCACCAAAACCAGACGTCTGTATCCCCACTCAGCAGAACTCAGCCTTGTCTTCCAGCCACAGCATCTTTCTGCTGTCAGCTTGATGGATCCCCTCTAGGACGACTGGCCAGATGGGTTCCCCTTCAGCGCTGGGAGATGCTGCATCTCAGTACGGCAAAGCTCCATCATCCCATTGCTTCTGCTGGGGCTGAAAGCTGGCAGGAGCTCAGGAGACGCATGGTGGTTTCAGCTCCGCCGCCTGCCACCCTGAGCGCCTACAGCAGAGAGTCAAGGCCCTACAGCTACATCTAGACGAGGGGATCGAGTGCTCCCTC